ATGAAGATTATTGAAAATTTTCAAACTGATAATAGTTTTTATTATTGACTTGCAACCTCAACACCTTCAAGTGTTGTACAGACCTTTTATTTGCTTAATAAAATGAAATATAATTCTTTATTAAACTAGTTTTAATTATACAGATAATATAAAGCTTGTTGCTGTAATTCAATATCAACTCACATCATTTATTTATATTGCCACATTTGGAATTTAGGACAAAGAATTAAAATTAATATGATTTATATGTTGAAAGTAATTAATTGTGCATCTTAATTATGTAAAGTTTAATATAAAAATTGTTAAAGTGAAGAAATTTTTCAAGAAATTTATATTTTTAATAAGAAAATTACATATTCAATTTTTATAATATGAAAAATATAATTTATTTTAAAAATTAATAAATTTATCATTTTAAAATGTAAAAATATGAATTTAAACTAAAAACAAATTGGTTTGTACCTGAGACTTCAATCAATAAATTAAACTGTCTCAAGACATCCAAAGTTTAATTCTCAAGTTGTTTCTTTTAACAAATTAAAATCTGTATTTCGAAATGTCATTTACTTTACAATAATGTCATAATTTAAATGATATGGATGGATTAGTGAAAATAATAATGTATTTATTTGATAATTTATTCCAAGATTTAATAGTAAAAATGTTCTCTACAGAACTATTTTTCTTTTTAAAAGATGATTTTGACACTAACGAAAATCACTTTTTTAATCCTAGCAGCATATTTAGCAACACTTTTCATAGTTATGTACCATTTTGGATTTAATGATGAGTTTTGTAATGGAAATGTTGCTTTCATGTAGACTACTAAAAAAAATAAATATTAAAACATCAATAACGTGTTTGCTACGAATTGACATAATTCTGTGTTACATGAAGGTTGCGTGATTCAAAATCGCCTCAACTGGTAGTAAACATGTTAACTTGAAGAATAAAAAATGTTGATAGATGCACTTTCTTTTGTTTCTTTTATTTTCTATCAAAATGTAGTTTAAACTTTTGAATTTGAATAAATCAAAATTTAGCATTTGTATTGCTGATTGGCTCTATCTTTGCTCAACCATGAAGTTTAATTAAAGACAGTTAAATATTCAGTTTATGTCATACAGTAAACTTTACAGATTGTCCACCATAAAATAACACAATACGTGTATATATCAAGCCAATTGTTCATTTGTTTCAGAATCCTTGCTAGCACCGTACTGTAAACTATTGATTGATTTCTTGTTAGCTTATGCCCAATTGTTTAGTTCATTTTCTCTCTGAAATGGGGAAACAACACTGAAAAATTAAATATGAAGATTGGTATGACAATTATGGTAGACTTTCGTTTCCATCATTTTTTAATTAAAATATTCAGTAAGGTAAATTTTGACTTCTGACTTTCGTATACATCATAATATATGTCAATATTTTCTTGTTTCAAATATTGCACATAAAGGGACTTTCTAGTTTTAATGTAACTAAAAATACTATTTTCACAAATTTAGAAATTAAAATTTTTTGAAATTAAATACTATCTTCTTCCACTTTAAGTATAACTTTAGTGATCATATTTGGAAGTGATGACCAGATGAGCAAGATGACGAAGATGTCGGCTTACGACTCCAGGGACCTGGGTTTTAATCTGCTTCGGATGCCTCAAATTTTTTGGGAATGTTTTATCTTGGGTATGTTTTACCACCAAGTTTTCTCCATCATAGGTGTGGCCAAACCCATAGTGGCTTGGAAGTAAAGTCTTCTTAATGCCCACAGGATGGAAAGAGTGAAAATCTTCAAAGAAATCAAACATGGAAGAAAATTTCAATCATAATTTTTTTTTATAGGGTTTAGAATGGCGTAATATTTAAATTGTTTCAATAATTAAGAATGAAATTTTTCTAATAAGAGAAAAATTTGAACAGTTATAATTTTCTATATGTTTTATAATTGCTTATTTTTAGTATATTAAGATTTTGATTTGATTTTAAGAACTAATAAATAAGTTAATGAGATGAAGAAATTGTATTTTTGGAAAAATTTACATTTTTAGATTTTTTAAACATCTTATCTATTTATCTCTTGTTTCAATTTACAGGCATCACTAGACTTTTGCACATAATTGGTTCCTGAAAGTGTGTGCGAATGTTGAATGTTTGAAAGTAGAGGAATGTAAAAAAAAATATGCACCAAAAATTGTTTTAAAGTATTCATTTATCAATATGTATACATAATGAAGTTAACAAGGTGTGTTTAAGTGCTTTCAGGTGTTTTCTTTATAAACTTTCAAGAGTTAGTTGAATACCACCCTTTTTTTTCTTTTCTTGATAAAGATTTCTATAACATGCTGTGTCTTTTTCAATCACCCTACATACTTGAGATATACGTTCTCCATTGGGATCACATTCTTCCATGATAGTCAAAAATTTGTCAAGATGCATGAAGGCTTCATTCATATTTTTAATTGTCAAAGTCTTGATGTTTTTATCAGCTTCTTCTTCCTCACTTTCATTGTGTATACAGTAAACTTCTTCCTCACTTTCATTGTGTATACAGTAAACTTTTCAGATTGTCCACCATAAAATAACACGATACGTGTATATATCAAGCCAATTGTTCATTTGTTTCAGAATCCTTGCTAGCACCGTACTGTAAACTATTGATTGATTTCTTGTTAGCTTATGCCCAATTGTTTAATTGCTTTTGTTAAATTGCCATTATGCCCAATTGTTTAATTGCAATTGTTAAAATTGCCATTGTTGCTCAATTAAGTATTCATTTGACAGAGGTACTGAGTGAGATTCAATCAACTCATTAACATCTTCATTGTTGACGTCCAAGTTTAGTTCATTCATTAGGCTAACTACTTCATCTGTGATGGTTTTCAGTGTTTCTTCAAAATTTATAAAAATTACTCATTATTTGTGGGCGTAATTGTTTCCAGGAACCTTTCTTTGTCAACTCTTTTATTTCATCCCACAAGTCTCCAATATTGTTTATTGCATTTCATATATTATAGTTCTTCCAAAAATCTGTTAATGTTGACCCATCTTCCCTGTCAGTTGCCTTGATGGCCTTAGTCATTATTGTCCTCATATAATATTGTTTAAATGTAGCTATCACTGGTCCATGAGCTGTATGAAGCAGGTACTATTGGGAGGAAGAAAACACAACATCAATTTCCAGGTATAAATTCTGCAGAGATTTTGGGCTCCTGAAGCATTGTCTAAGATTAATAATGCTTTAAATTGTAAATTATTATTTTTACAATATTGCTTAACTGCTGGCACGAAATGAAAAGCAAACCAATCTTTAAATATTAACGCAGTAACCCAGGCATTTTTATTTGATTTCCAAATGACTGGAAGCAATTCTTTATCTTTCCCTTTTAATACTCTGGGATTTTCCACTTGGTAAACTAACAATGGCCTCAATTTTAAATCACCAGCTAAGTTTCCTTCAAGAAGCAATGTTAATTGGTTTTGGGAAGGTTTATGTCCAGAGGCAACTGATTCTTCCTTCGATAAAAATGTATGATTAGGCATTTTTTCCAAAATAAACCCATGTCATCTACATTGAATATTTGGCTAGGAGAATCTTTTCCATCTACAATAATTTTGGACAATAAGGAAATAAATTCTGCAGCATCTTTATCTGCATCAGCCGATTGATTCTCCAGTGAATTTAATATTATGTAAAGAATATCTCATTTTAAATTTGTCAAACAAGCCATTACTTGCTTGAAACACCATGTTAGAATCTTCATTTAATCTAGTCTTCCAATCTTCATGCAAACTAAGAGCCTTAGCTTGAATAATTGAAAAACTCAGAGGACATTATTTTGATGTTGATTATCAATCCATGATGACAAAGATCTTTCCACTTCATCCATCACTATGCTGTGTCTTTTGGAAACAATCTTTGAAGATATATTTCCACAATTTTGAATGTATTCCTTAATTTACTCTTATTTTTCAAAATTGAACATATCATAGATTTGTTTACATCATACAAACGTCCGATTGAAGAAAAAGATTTGACGTTTTTAGAACGTTTAATTATTTCCATCTTTGTCTCAATTGTATGAAGTTTGAGTCCTTAATTTCTTTTTGTTCATATCAACACTGCAGCTTCTCTGTTTGTCACTCATGTTTATCAATTTATAAGGATGAAATATTTAAACATAAACAAAATTGGCAAAACACACAACATGTTGACGCACACCCTAATGTAAGACTGAAACTGTTTTGACCTCTTGCTTGGAACAACACAGTAGTGATTATGATTCCGAGATGTCCACTATTGTAGGAAGTAATGTGTGTCCAAGAACATAGAGCAAGCTACCACACTTTGTAGTGTTTGAGCATTCTGCATGGAAGCAAATTTTTTCATTATCAACAAAAATACTTGAAAAGTTGAATTTTTAAAAATGTGTGAAATGGCAAATTGCACAAAAGTCGAGGGCTGCCTGTATTTAAGAAGACAAATATTCTATTTTAAGGAAAGTTTTAATTACTTCAAATTGTTTTTTCTCCAAATTAATTTGTTACAATTACGAATAAGTTTATTATTTCTATAAACAGGGCAAAATGTTTGGAGTTTCAGCAAAGACAAACATTTCAAAATCTGGTAAGAGTTGCAATATTACCTAAAAACTAATCTGCAAAACAATCTTGAAAAGAGAAACTATTAAGCTTAAGGTGGAAGATTCATAATTTTGAATTAAAACAAATAATTTTTAATATTTTTCCTGGATCTGTAAAATTTTTTCATCTATTATTGTGCTGCAATTTGAAAAAATTGTAGATTTATAAATTTCCACTGTCATCTGTCTGTCCTTCCTTAATTAATCTTGAGAACAGAGTTAAATAGATAAAAATCAAGACCAGATATGGAAAGCTTGGGAACAGGAGGCCCAATTTTAAAATATATTTTTCTTTTATAAAATTAAAGTCAAAATATTTTTGTAATTAGTTTGTACATAATTTTATTTCTTTTGTTAGATGCTCCTTGGTGTGGACACTGTAAAGCACTAGCCCCGGAATATGCCAAAGCCGCTAAGCAACTGTTGGAAGAAAAATCTGAAATACGACTGGCAAAAGTTGATGCGACCGAAGAATCTGAACTAGCAGGAAAGTTCAAGGTGAAAGGTTATCCAACAATCAAATTCTTCCGTGAGGGAGAGCCCATTGATTATACGGGTCAGTATATTATTTTCCAATTAAAAAAAAGGTTAATATTAATTAGTAAAAGATTTTTTGTATATTATAAATTCCATAAATATTGGTGAAAAATAAAGTACAGTATGTAAATAATAGAGAAAATTATTTTAATTAATGATACTGAAGTGTATTTGAAAGTAATATTACTAAATGCACAGCTGGAGTTCTGCATTACTGTAACATAGATCAATTCTGTTACATATAAATATAAAGTGATACATTAAAATATTGTTTCAAACATATTATAAGATAATGTGAAAAAGATAAGCAATTAAATTGACATCTACTTTTTGTTTTATTCATATTTATTATAAAATAAAATTGCCTGAATTTGACTTTATGGAAATGAATTTTAATATCTTTAACTCAGAGGGTGGAAAAGGTATTGATACTTTATATTAAAAAAAACTCCTTAGAGTAAGATTATTTTATTCAATAAGTGTTTACTAAATAATTTAGTTGTTAGTTAGAATACAGTAAAACTTTCTATAAAATAAAATTAAAATGTTCCAGGTGGACGCACTGCAAACGATATCGTCAACTGGTTGAAAAAGAAAACCGGACCACCCGCTATTACTTTAAATACAGTTGAAGAAACAGTGCAATTTAAAGACAGTAAAGACGTGGTAGTGATAGGATTCTTTAAGGACCCAGAAAGTAAACTAGCAAAAGTTTATTTAGAGGCTGCTTACGCGATCGACGACCATCCTTTTGGCATCACTTCCAATGAAAATGTTTATAAAGAGTTTAAAGTCGAGAAAGATACCATCATCTTATTTAAAAAAGTAAGCATAAACAGTATTAACTTAATCTTGGATATGAACCAAAAAATTAATTTAAAAGTACAAATTTGTTGTACAAAATTCAACTTTTTTCAGTAAAATTAATTTTCATTATATTACATTTCAAACATTGGTAAAATCTATCTGAATGTATTTAAATTTATAAATTTTACATAATTTGCTGATTTTGAATACAAGAATTTATTTTAAAGGCAAATTTTATAAACATTATTTTTATAATTTTTGGCTAAAATTAGTATTAGTACTTTGGTCTTCATAGAAAGAAAAGCAATTCAAACTTTATTGTGAATTTTTAGAAAATAAATACTAGATATTATAAATCTGAAATTATATATAGCATAGGACACTATATTTGTTGTTAATTGTTGGTGGTTTTTTTTCTTTTTAGTTTGATGAAGGAAAGAATGAATATGAAGAAGAAATTACAAAAGATAACATTAAAAAATTTGTTAAAAGCAACAGTTTGCCATTGGTCATTGAATTCAGTCATGCGGTGAGTTTTATTGTGCACTCTTATTGTCTTTCTAATATACTTGTTACTTGTCTGATTTACAATTCTAACTGAATAAGTTTCCAACATTGTAATTTATAGTGAATAGAAACAATTCTTTACCTAAATGATTATGTATCTTCAATAATGCTAATGATGAGACTACAAGTTCTTAAAAACTGGTCTTATCTTTCTTAACAACTTCAATAGGTGATATATGAAGTAATCAAATTCCTTCTTTTTCTTTTTACTTGGTTTTTTTTTGTCTCTACCTATGGGGTGAAAAGAAATGGTAACTTAAAAGTCACATTTGTTTCTAATTTTAAAACTGAAGAGAAAGGAAATACTTTTTCTTTGTCAGAAAGGTCTATTACCCACTTAGGCCCTATATTATGCCCATTAAAGCAACTTTTACAGAAATAAAAACTGCTTGAATAACTTAAGTAATCTAAAAAACTGATTGAGTAAGTGAAAATGAAAGAGAATGAGAAAATAAAGAATTTTTTAAAATATTCAAGTCACTAAAGTCATCAGGAAAACTTACATTTTTAAAGTGCAATGAATGCTAATAATGTGGCAGAGTTTCGTAACAAAATCCCCATTTATAAAGTAAGCTTCTTCAGAGGTCTTTAAAAAAATCCTGTTGTCTGTGGTATTCTATAGAAGGGCATATATTTGTGGTTCTTAATTTGACAGACTTTGGCAACCTACAATCTGCTGCAGTTCTTTTTCTTGTCATATACCTTCACTAGAGAGAAGTCACTAAGTTTAAGAAAAATGTCCTCACTGAAATAAATTAAAACCAATATACACATTCAAATAGATCTATTTAGCTATGTCAAAACTAGATCTTAGACTTTTTCAATATCATTGGTTTAAAATTTAAAGAAGTTACATGGATTGAATAAAAACAACCATTTTTGTTGTTTTGTCCCATGAATTCACCACCATTACATTGTAAAAAAGATTAATGATTATAAAATGCAAGCATTCAAAACATTAGAGATTTTAATGAATACTTTATGAAATGATACTTAACACAATTTCCTAATAAAGTGAATCTTATAATATGATGGCTTACTAACAAAGTTTGTCAAATAACAGAAGCATGTAACCAACCACCATAACATGCACACAAGACTGGCATCTAAGACAGTGTTTTGTGTTTCCAGACTAAAAACTGCCTGTACTTTAAAAAATACTGTCCAAAGAGATACCAACAAATCAGAAATTTCCCTATGCTTAGTTCGTTAGTTAGGCACATACAAACTTTTCTTGAAGTTTTGTTTTTATTCATCCCAAATTACAATACACATTGTTTTGGCTTAAAATAATGTGTGAGATAGCCGGGGATGTAGATCTTAGTCTACGCCACTTACGGGCACTAGTCGGTAAGACCAGTTCTCGGTCGTCCAAAGAACGGCCTTTCCCAAACGTAGGGAAACGAGTGTGGAGGGCTTTACTGTTAAATTATAATTTAGAGCGGAAGTTGGTGAGGGCGAATTCACCTTCTTCCTATGTCAGGGTCCTGACACCAGTTAATCAATCTTATTATGTGCGGATTAACACGCGTGTGAGATCTGATTCGGAATCAGATTAAGAGACATTTCAATTAAAAACGAAATAATAAATTTAATAAAACAAAGGAAATAAACCCATACAAACATATTAATGAACGAGAGACAGAACTACTACAAATAATATCAAATCGAGAGTTATCTATACTTATATTATACCCGATTCGCGATCAAGAGAGAGAGCTCACAAAATCGTTATAAAACATACAACCTGTTTAGTTGTCGTTCGTCTACTTCTCTGTATGCAAGGGACACTTTGGAGATAAAGTTCATTTACTTCTTCGTATGGGAGATCAATATGTGCACAAAATCCAAGTATGTTTTCTAAGTGTTAACTCTGGAATTATTCTGTATGTGACTCGTCTAAGGACGTTGGTCATCCAGAGGAAAATGTATGGAGTTTGGATACTTCCAGATCCGTCGATGAACTCCCCGAATTCGGACAAATTCCCTGTATATCTGCTGATTTCCGACCAATCATCGGCCAGTAACTCTTTCCTGAGAACGGATGAAAGGGGGATGAATGAGGGGTAAGCATTTCCCATCTGAGCAAGAGTTTTCGCAGATAAGGGAAAAACAGAGGATGTACTAACTTCTGTGAAAGGAAGTAACATCTGTCATCTATTTTTCCCACTCTAAAAACGTTATTTTTCTCACAAAATGAAAGAATATTTTGTGACATTATTTAATGTTATCAATAAAATTATTAAATTAGACCCAGGGGCCTTTCAAGTCTCACAAATGTTAACAAATTTGCTGTTATTTACTATTTTTCACTGTAATAGGATGGAGAATTAAAACAATCCTCTTTTGCTCACAGGGGCCCTGTACATATCAAAGTGTCTTTTTATATATATTTCTCATAGTTTTTCACTATTATCATTATGAGGAAAGCCAGATGGCGAGGGACACAGTTTGTTGTATTTACTTCACCTATACTGAGCCAAATTAGACTCAAATCTGGGTTATCAGAGTAGCTAGCTAGTATCTTTATCGTCTTAGTTATGTATCCAACATAAAGATTTTATTTATACCTGGATGAAGATATCTTATATGACTTGGGTTTAGTATTATTTTATAGGACTTTTTTAATATCAGTTAAATTCTGATCAAAATTTCTTTTTATTCTGATGTTTAACAGGTCATATAATTTCACAAATGACAATAACTGACTTTAGTAAACCGTCCTTTTATTTTCACTTGTATATGTATTTTGAATATCACTATTGTGGTATCCCTCTTCAGTACAAATGAAAAGTTCAAATCTACAAATAAACAATAGTATGATTAAAATACAGAACTCTGGGAAACAACTTTAAAAGTCACATACCTCTATAAGTAAAATAGATGCATAAGGTGATGCCAAACCCTATGTGCCTGTTTTACTCATAGAGGTATGTGACTTTTTAAAGTTGTTTTCCAGAGTTCTGTAAATATTTTAATCATAAAATTGTTTATTTATAGATTTGAACTTTTCATTTGTACTGAAGAGGATACCACAATAGTGATATTCAAAATGCGTATATACCGTATTTACTTGAATATAAGACGATCTCGCATATAGGACGAGGTGTTACTTTAATGATCAAAATAATTTATTAATACAATTCTAATTTTATTAATACAATTCTAGTTTTATTTCATTTAATAATAAATAAAATATCAAATGCATGTAAATGCACACATTGTCCCGCAAAAATTACTGGCATCTTAAACTTCAAGGAAAAATCTTGTAAAATCGACAACGTAATTTGTTCATGTAAAGCTGGACAATCAGGAACCTTTTTTGCCAATTGTTAACAGTCTAATTCACTCTTCGTCGATTACACTTATGAGTTTCTTCGAATTTCCAAATAATCATCTGTTTTCACATGGGAATGGATTAAAACCTTATATTGGGCTCCCATGTAATTTTGGAATTCAATTCAAAAGCTTTGCTTTTCCTATTGCTATTCATCTTTACTCCTGGCAATACACAAGAACAATTCAAACGACCCAGATAAAATACTTTTGTTTTTAAACACCAGAAGGTGAGAATCTGGTAAAATATGCAAATACATAATTTACAAAAGTTATACAAAAATGAAAAGAATCCTTCGCTTGCACATATAGGACAACCTAGTTTTTTGAAACAGTGAAAAATAGATAAAAACCTCATGTTATATGCAAGTAAATATGGTAAGTGAGAATAAAAGGATGATTTACTAAGGTCTGTTATTGTCTTTTGTGAAATTATATGACCTGTTAAAAATCGGGAAAAGAATAAACTTTGATCAGAATTTAAAGTCCTATAAAATAAAAATTATAAATAAATACAGTGTGTCCAAAAAATAAGTATACAATTTTTATATTCTATTACTAAAATAAAACATGGAATAACAACCCACTTATAATGTTAAAAAAGAACATAATACAAGTGAAAATTTTTTTAATAAGCATCAATAAATCTCTACATGTGCTCCCTTGGTTGCTCGCAGGATACCAAGACAATAGTCCAATTCAATCCAAGTATGTTGAAGTATGTCTGCTGTAATCAAGAGGAAGGCTTCACTAATGCATTTTCTGAGTCCAATAAGTGATGTTACCTTATTCTTATACACAATATTCTTAACGAATCCTCAAAGGAAAAAATCATGGTACGATATCAGAACGAGGGCTTCTATACATTCATTTGGTCTTACAGTTCTTCTACTGTTCAGCACACTTCCTGTTAATTTGAATTTTGTTATCCATTTATCAGTGTCAGCAACTGTTTCTTGTATTTTGTTTGGAACTTACGTTGAACTGTTGTTAATGATTTTGATCCTGCAAACCAAAAACACACTGCTTTTTCTTGTGGCATAGCCATTTTTTGTTTTTTTTTCCACATTCAATGTTTTTCCTTCTACAAGACACTCAGCACTGTATACCAAATGAGTTGATGAATCTTTTTACAAAGTTTTTGTGTTACACTTGAAAAACTTTTATTATTTCTTTTAATAGAATATTGAAGTCATATACTTATTTTGTTCACACCCTGTATATTCAAGTTGTTACTTATTTCAAAAGAAACTTATTTATGTTTTAATGTTATAAAAATGAAAATACAGTAGAGTGTCGTTTATCTGAATCAATTGGGGACTGGGGTTGTTTTGATAACCACTTATGTACCAAAAAATATATTAACCTATTTATGTTGAAATTTTTCTCCATTGTGTGTCACTTTGCGTCGAATTTTCATTGATGTTAAGCCTATATATTGAAAAATATAAAAACATTTCAAAATTTTATTGATGTTAAGCCTAATATATGGAAAAATATAAAAACAAAATGATATTGGAGTAGCCCAAGACATAGCCAAATATTGCAGCGCTACAGCACTAGCAGAAATTTAAATTTGCCAACTGGAACTCTTTCAGTTGATCAGCTTTCGGATAAACGATGCTCTACTGTATATAATGTTATGCATCTGCAATAAGATAGTTTGTTATTAATTAAAAAGACGAAACAGACAAGTGTAGAAATAAATATGAC